TGAAGCCAAAACTAAGATTGACTTTTTTTTAAAATTGCTTGACTTCGAAATCAATAATTTTTCACCAATTTCCCAACAACCTTCTTGGCATCGGCAACTTTAATTGGCATTTCGAACGAAATTCGCGTGAGATAACACAAATTCAAAAAAAAAATAAGTTCAGTAAACTGCATTTGTTTGTTGTATGTTGTTGTGTTTGCAACGTTTGAGCTGTAACTTTGTGTGAAAGGAGAAAATTATTGTGTTTTGGTCAAAAGGGAAAAGTTTGTCCTACTTAATATCAACAGCAGTTTCAGAGTGAAATATGGGCATGAGCATATAGACGGATGTGTGTCTGGAAGCGTTAAAAACACAAATCAAACGCAAAAGTTGTAACGAACTTCTGCTGTGAAAACTTTAAATTTCAGTTGAAAATTTCGAATTTTCGTACTCAAGCCATATACATATGAGTATTACTCTGCAGGTTCCCAGTTCATTAGGGTTCGACTGATTTGTTTTTAATGAACTTCACAAAGTTAGTAAAATCATTTTTTTTATATTTAAATTTTCTACTTTTGAAGTCATCAAAAGCAAACCAAGATTATAGTGAAAATTATGGGCTCAAATTTGAAAACTATTTTTCAGCCCTGAGTTTCGCTGGGAAATCACTTTTCTAGGCGCTCCAGTTTATAGACTAGTTCGATAACCAGTTACTATGCGCTATTAAATTTTTGGCTCACTTACATACATACTTTAGACCTTAACTGTACACAACGAATATATCGTCCTTTCACTCCACTGGAAAAGAGAGTTTACATCAACTGAATGCCAGACCACGCTGGCATTGAAGGCAATGAGATAACTGCCGAACTGGCCAAGCAGGGTATACTTTTAGATAGAGACGTAATAACGAACCACCAGTTCCATTCAAAGAAGTAAAGCAGATGCAAGAGTTATTCTTACTTCATCAGATTAAAATGGAAGCTCTGACAATGAGCCGATGCTGCAGAAAATAATAAGAGCGGCATAACTGAATATAGAAGGTACATTCTTCTATAAGAGTGTGCAACTACTAATAGTTCTGCTTTCTGCAGACTGGATAAGGCAGCGAAATATATCGGTCTAGTAGTTACGAGGCAAGACGAAATATCTCCTGTCATCAAATAAATAATCATCGCTCCCGCGTCACTATTTACAGCCGTAACTTTAAAGTCATAGATAATTTCGTCTATATGGGAACCCCAACAATAATGTCAGCATTGAAATCCAGCGCAGAATCATTCTAGCCAACAGGTGCAGATGCGCTCCCAACGAACGAAAACCAAACTCTACAAGTTCCTCATCGTTCCCGTCCTGCTATATGATGCGGTAGCATGAACGATGACAGCATCTGATGTGACGGCGATAGGAGTTTTCGATAGAAAGGTTTTGCGTAAGATTTATGGTCCTTTGCCCGTTGGCAACGGCGAATACCGCAGGCGACATGTGTGGAAACAATTAAGCAGGTAAATGTGAATGTCCAATGTTCGGCTGGCAAAGGCTATGCTTACTCGGAGTAGAAAGGCTACAGGACCTTCAATCGGCAATTAAAAAATTTTGAAAAGAACAATGATGCACTTCACACTAGAGACACAATAAAGAGTGTAGCAATGCAGCTTGATAGCTCGTAGTGCATGTGTGGCAACACTAAATCAGATCGAAGGGTCAGCTAGTTCAACCTAACCTAACCTTTACTCCACTGTATGAAAAGAAATGAATTATTAAAAAATTCAGGAAGCCAAGAAGGAAGTAAAAAAAAACTATAAATCCTTACTTAAAGTTACAAAACTGCTTAAGTGAGAATCTAAAGCGAATATCAGTTTCTCCCACTAACCTTTCTTGGTTTCTCAAGAATGAGTATTCTCAATTAAACAAATCTTTTCTTGTGCCTTATAAATTTAATTAGATCATTTATATGGGTTGAAGTCCGCAAAAAAATCTTTTTTACGAATAATCTATTTGGTGTAAATTGGTTTATCCTCAAAAACCCTGCAACTACAGAAAAAAATCTTTGGACTCTAATTCATCCTTTTAAACTGAAGTGGACCTAAAGAATGACTTCTTATTACAAACACAAAGGATGTACCATCTAAGGTTTGCTCTTTGAATTACTCTTCTTTAGAGCTTTGCCCCATCTTCAATAACATTTGTGACGTTAATTGTTCAGTAGATGCTTTGCGGCTTACGAAATGATAAAGTTTATACTTGGAAAGAATAGGAAAATTTAAATAAAATTACTTCCAAAATGACGAGTCTTTAGCCGCAGTTGCAAAAAATGATTCACAAAATACCAAACGAATTCCAGGCGGTTTGTGAAGCATTTTGTCCAGCGATTTCACTAAATCGACCGCAAGTGTAGTTTCAACACGACGACGCAATCGATCTTTTGTTCGCTATATCCGATAATAATTGCCGCCTCGCTGCGTTTTGTATACGCTTGACTAATTGGGTCTGTAAATTTAGATTCTAATTTATAAAACAAGGTAAACTCTTATATATTTCGTCGTGCTCGCATCTTGTGCTAACTTCTCATTGTTTTAGACGGCTTCTCCATGATCTAACGTTGCATGGTCCGAAGACGCTTTCTTATCGAAATTGCTCGATAATATGCTTCTGCATTCTTTTATAAAACTTTAATAGCACCCTAATGTGTATAGAATATTACATTGGGTGAATGAGAAAAAATAGATGAAACGAAATTACATCAAGTTTGTTTTCTAAAATTTACGAGCGGTATTTGACTTTGATTGAGAAAATGATCTAGACGACTTTCCGTGAGAGCGAGGTAAAATTCTTGTGAATGGAACTCTTTATCCGAAGATCTCACAGCTGTCACGCTGGTCTTATACTCCTGTATTTCTCCAGTTATTTTCCTCTCCGTAAGGATATTGTGGTATTGAAGGCAAAGGTGACATAAAGGATAAGTAGGATAGAACTAGTGCTTATAAAAAAAAAATATTGGTTAAAATTTAATTATTTTATTTTTATGGCTTAAATACTCGAGTTTCTATTTAAAAGTAAAAGTAGTTTGCCAAAATATATATTTTTAAGTTTTACCAAAACAGTTTCCACGGCAGCTATAGCAGAATGTATAAGCCAAACCCTTACAAGATTAATTCGAAAACGTTTTTTTCTTAATGCGGTGGCCGTTCGAAAGTGAAAAGAAAGTTTATTCGTTTAAATATTTCAAAAACAGTAATTAAATACAGATTTTTATTTTATGTATTTTATTGCAAAAATAATAAGTGCCATAATTTTTACAATAAATTGCTTTTATTTTAAGATAATTAAGGGCATAACACCAGTCCCGTAAGAACAACAGGCTGGATGTTAGTCCAGAAACCCCCGAAGTGATCCTATTTACCAGGATGTGCCAACCGCCTCTTTTTAAGTCAGTTATACTACGTATACCGATATCTAATATTTGGTGGCCGCGGCAACCGAGTGGTTATCATTGCGTACTGCTTTTCGGAAAGCTCGGGTTTATAATCCGATGCGACCAACAAGCAAAAGTTGTATAGAAAATTAATTTAAATTAAATTTTCTAATTCCTGTCGCCCCTCGGCAGGTAATTTCAAGCCCTCCGAGTGTATTTCTGACATGAAAAAGCTCCTCATAAAAACCACCAGCCGTTCGGATGCAGCTTAGTACAAACTTTTTGGTTCCTCCATTTGTTGGAAGCACATCAAGACGCAAAACAGCAAATTGTAGAAGGAGCTCGGCCGAAAATCGCTTCAGCGATTACAAAGCGCCAATTATAAAATATCTCGTGATATGATGTCCGGCGCTCGAAAAACTATTTTCAATAGCAAACTAGTAGGAGTTCAAAGGTCGACTGTTTTCCTGGTAACAGAACCACTGCCATAAACTCTCTTGAAAGCACTGCTAGTTCTTCTCAACTTCCCTCCTCTGGACCTATATGGCGAAATTACAAGCGAGCTTGAATGTAGCTCACTCTTGAAAGAACATGTCAAAATATTATTTCTTGGAAAAGTGCCGAAAGATCTGGATTTCACCACCAATATGTGCTTAGAAAAACTTTTTTCCACAAGAATCCTAAACCGAAATGACTGGAAAAACACCAACGCCCTCTATCAGGGAGTCATAGCCATCTTTATAGATGATTAAATATGAGCATCAGTCTATCAGACCCCTACAATGGCTTCCAAGCAGAACTCTTTGCAATCATAGCAGTCGTGGAGTAGCTGCTCAAACCTACGGCAGTCGGACAATTAGTTACGATATAAATCGGCAGTCAAGCTGCCATCAGATCTCTGCAAAGTAACATTACCTCATCAAAAGTGGCTTTAAAATGTAGAAGTATGCTGAACAAAGCGCCGCTAAAAGCAAAACTACTGTGATCTGTGTACCCGGACACAGTGACATTCCAGGCAATTGCAGACGAACTAGCGAGAGAAGGAACGCTTCTACATACAATAATACATTTACACGATGCAGATTTACCTTTGCCCATAGCCAAGTAAATTTTTAAACTGGCACCAGACTCTAGTTGGCTGAATGAGATTACGAGCAACGTGACCAGACTTCTACTTCTAGACCGGTCTTCCATTAACATAACGACAGGCATAATAACAGGCCGCTGTTTAATGCAACTTCACTAGAAAAGAAGCTGTAGGGTTGCAGAAGAGGAAGGGTCTGTTGAACACCACCTCCGTCATGGTCTATCTTTGACATCTGCGCGACATAAGTTCCTCGGGAAACACTTCTTCGAGCACAGTGAGCCAGTGCGCTAGCTTTGGCAACCGTTGCTTTTGTAAGACACACGAATGGTTGAAACATATGAAAAGATTATTTTGCTTTTTTGGGTTTTAATCTTCTGTTTCTAGGAGTAATATTCTTAGCTCTCTCTATATTTATTTAGGTTTTTTTGGATTCTACTGTACTTTTCAGAGTATATATTTTCTTATTGAATTACGCATATCCAAAACTTATCAGAACAACTTCGATCTCTCTCTTTCCAGAATTGTGTGATGCAGCTGCGAAAATTCAGGCAGCTTTCCGTGGCCATTTGACACGCAAGGTCGTGACCAAAGAAACGCCCGATGATGACGACATACAAGAGATCACCAAGAAGGTAGCCGAAGAACTGGATATTGATCTAAGTGATCCCGAATTGCATAAAGCGGCCACTAAAATTCAAGCTTCATTCAGAGGACACAAAATTCGCAAGGACATAACAGAATAAGAGAATTTTTCGACTACTTTTCCTCATTAAAAGTAAAAAAAAAAAAAACAAAAAACAAAAAAAAATGTTGCAAAGAGAAATACTTAATTAAACCAATGCGCAAAGCATTAATAGTAAAAATATTATGAAGAAGAATATCACTAAAGAAAACTGTTAAGTAAAACAAAAAAAAAAAAAGACACAATTTGAATTAAATGAAAAGCAAAAGTAATTTCAAAAAAAAAATATAATAATAATTTCGAAGATTAAAAAACAAATTCATGCCATCTCTGAGAGAAAAACATTTACGATTTACAATTACTACAACAAATACACTGAAAAAAAGAGTCATATGAAAGCTTTTAAGCGGCTAAGTGGAAATGAATCACTGATGAATATAATTGTTGAGGAAATTTAATAGAAAAAAATAAATAAATGTTAAATAAACATTAAATTGAAAAACATTTAAAAAAAAAAGTGTTGAATTAAACCTAATGAAAAAGGTCCAACCAATCGTGCGCAGTGTTGCATTATTGCTAAATACATTTAATATTTATTTATTACGAAAACTTGTTACTTTAATTAATTAATTATAATAATTAATTAAAAAAAATTAAATGCAGTTTTAGTTGCAAAAATATGTTGACCTTCGATTTCCACGCAATTTCTATTCCTGTTGGTATATTATATTTTTTTTTCTGTTTTCGTTTTACAACACTGGTCGACGAAAAGGGGTTTCACAACGCATTCATTCCTTGAGCTTTATGAAAAGTAACTGATTATATGTATGAGTATTTTTCTTTTACAAAATGTAGCAACAAAAAATATTCAAATACATATACATACATTAATAAATTATAGTATCATAAATTAAATGTATTTATTATTGCAATATACGTACATATATATGTACATATGTATACATACGGCTTTTGTGATTTTAATAAGTGCAGGGTTGCAACCGTTGGAAACAAAAGCTTTGCCAAATTTGTGTAGATGATAACTTTATGTACTAGAATGCAAAGTAAATTTTACTTTCCATTTTGCTAAAAATTAAAAATGTTCAAAAACAATAATATTTAGCAAATTATATGACGACAAACACAAAATAAAACAAAAAAATGCAAAAAAAAAAAATTATATCTAAAAAGAGCGTGTTGCTAATTTTTAGAGGCAAAAAAAATTGAAATTTTTAGACAGCACAATTTTGAGAGCATGACATAAAAAAAATAAAAATTTTTCCAAAAAAAAATCTACTTCACTTTGGAGGTAGATTTTTAGGTTGTCCTAGAAGTCCTTAAACTCCTGAAAAAAGCAACCGAAATGAAACGAAGAGCAATCGATCGTTTCTCGGCTGAAAGTTGGTAGTTGCCCCAACAACAACAGATAAATTTATCATGGCTTTATTGTTAATATTTTTAATGGTTAAAGTATCCTCTCTGGAGGTGATTTGCAACCAGCCAGCAGGCAGGCCTATTTTTCATTCCCTGCAACACGCTCTTACGCGTACATTTTCCGACTAGTACCGATTAAAAGCAACAAGAATTTTAGTAAAATTATTAATTATCAGTAATTAGAAAGTGGAAAAATATTTAATTTTGAATTGGAGTGTGAAACACAACAACAATGATTCGCACATAAATAAATAAAAAATAAATAAATAAATAAAGAACTAAAATAAACAAACAAATACCAAAGAGTAATTAATGTTTACAAAATAAATGAAATATTGCTTAAAACAAACAGCAACAAAAAGAGATTAAGAATTATAAAAAAACTGATTTGGATAATCCAAACTAAACAAACAAAAAACGGCTAAAAAAGTATTTCACTACAAACAAACACACGCAGGCAAATTGTAAGCAAAATAAGAAGACACAAAACGGCCAATAGAACTAATATATAATAACAACAAAAATTTACAAAAAAAAAGCAAAGGATGGCACAGCTCTTTGCACGCAACAACAGTTGACGAACTTAAAGTTGAAAAAAGAAATGAAAAAGTTTCAACGGCAGCAAAAAAAAAGTTGTTGTAACATTATTTATGATAACCTCTGCCCGCACACACACACACCAACAACAACAACAACACATGCATATTCAAGGCCATAGCTGTAGGGAAGAATACTAGTTGTTAACTAGAATCCGACTAGTTTACATTTATACTAGTTCATCTTTTATTTATTTTCGATGCAACTGATATTTTTAATACGGCAATGTCCGGCGAACTGTAAATTGTTTGTCTAGCATCAGCTGCATACTAGTTAAATACCAGTTCATATACACCAATTAAAATACTGGTTTGCCCATACCAGTTGAGAAGAACTAGTTCGCCGCAGACTAGTCTGCATTGTACTAGGCAAGCACCAGTTCGATTCTACTACTCAACTATCTTAAGCCAAAATCAAAATTCAATGAGCAAGTTTGTATTTGTATGTTGTATATGTATGTATTTATTTAAATATTATTTATTTTTTATTTGTGTCTTTAAAAGAGAAACAATTATTAATAATTATTCCACTTATAAACTAAAGCACTGGCTGCCAGGGCCTTCGGCTATTTAAATATAAATTCTTTCTTTTGTACTTGAAACTGGGTACATTATTTCTTCCCATGAAGTGGATATGCATTGGAAGCTTAATTGGTACTATTCAACCTTTTTTACAGTTACTCATGAGTTCTACTTTGTTTGCTTTTTTTTGCAAAACGCCACACTGGTATGAATTTGTCCGCAAAATACTAGTTCATATACTAGAATATATGCAAACTTGTCAAGATTTTACCGAAAAATGTTAGTATAATTCTAGTCCATGGCAAACTGGTATATTTTTATCCTCTAAATACCAGTAAAATTCTGGTTTGCGACAAACTAGTATGATTTCGTCTTCATAATTTCAGTATTTAACTACAATTTTACCATACTAGTCTACCTTATCCCTGCAGTTATAACTGTAAAATATGCCTGTGAATATTAAAAATCCTATTTTTGCGGTTAAGCAGTTTTTTGAGGAGAATTTTGGAAAAATTTAACAATTTGCGTCGTTTTCTTTGCAGAAAGCAAATAATGTTTGCAATTACTACAATAATTATCCTTTATTAAATCGTCCATATACTCGAATCTACACGAAAAAACACTCCTACACACACACGCATACACACACACACACACATACACACTATGTGCGCTCTCATTAAATAAATAGTTGTAGTCAGCAAATTTGCTAAAAGTTATTTACAAATCCATTTATCATTTACCGTTATTTACAAACACAATTAGCTCTATTTCTAATATTTAATTCTATTCGATATTTTTCACTAATTAACTAATAAAAAAATTTCAATTAAAATCTGTTAAGCAAAAACGAATGAGCAGAATTTCCAATTCAATGCCACAAAGTACACATTTCAACGGTACTAACACAGTCACATGCAAAACAATAATTATTAATGCAATAAAATAAATATTTGGGATATTATAAGCAAACACACAAGAACAACAAACAAACATACATACACACAACTAAGCATTTTTAACCGCTATTAAATTCGGTAGCGTATAAACTTGGCCTCTTTCTCTCTCTCTCTCTCTGACTTCTCAGTATTGCAATTTAAAACAAACAAATAAACACAAATTTAAAATAAAGTTGCAAAAACAAAAAAAGAACTTAATATAAAATGTACACACACACACACATTGTAATTGAAATTGTCATGCCGCAAATTGCCAGGAAACTAAATTTGAAAATAAATTTGAAATAAAATCTTAACAACAGTAATTTAGTGAAAGTAAAATAATAAAAAAAAACTACAACAAATTTTGTGTTTTTTTTTCTGAACTCTATGTATGTATGCGGGTGAGTATTGACATTAAGACGAACGTCCGGTCAAGACCTGATGTTCCCAATAGAAAAACCAAACTAGATACCAACCTTAGACCCTGTTCCTGTTCCTCTGTCGAGAAACTATGTTTTCCAGACTTTTCTCCGAATGAGCTCTAGGAAAATTTCGAGTATTCACTTCCGAGCAAAACTTGATATCTACAGAAGTAACTCCAATATATACAGTGAGCTTCCAGGTCCCCAAGCATTCCGCATTAATCCAATTTAGGAGATAATGTAGAGTTCTTATACGAGTAACACTTGCTACTTCGGCTGGTTCAGTTAATACGTTACATTCGGCGGTTTTCTTATGTATTTCTATTGTATATTGGGGGCGTGTAGTTAAATGCTCCCATAGCTCTGTACTTATTAATGAATGAAGAATATTGTTCACTTCCAATAAATGTTTCATTACCTTAGCCAGACGTTTAAACCCCTTCGTAAAGGGAACACCTTAATACCTGACAATGGAAGTACGTGTATAACATTATCGAACGCTTTCAACAAGTACAATGCTATCAAGACAGCTCGGTCCCAGGCTCGGTTCTGCTTGCGGCCTGAAGTTATATAGCGTAAAGTGCCGTGGTAGTGCTCTGTACTTCTCTTCACTACTACTACTAGGGAAGGGAGGGATATCGGACCATACAACTACTCTAACTGATTAAGTTTCCTGGCTACAGCGGTGGCATCACTTCGCCCTGCTTCTACTTACATACATACTGGAGTCTTTGTGACTTGAGGAAATAGTAGTCATGGACAAATGGTCTGAGGAATATTTACAATTTATGAGGTTAGGGATAATTAGTATATTCTGTTGTGAAGCGAATTGGTGGGTTTCGGTTATTGGTGTTGTTGTTATAGTAGCGGTGGGAAAGATCCGCTTAGGATCATGAGAGTCTAGTCTAAGGCCATCTAACGGGAGGTCCCGAAAACAAGCTGTTTCGACGTGATCGGCCAGAGGGAAAGAGGAGTTAAATTAGTTTTTGTTTAGGGTATATGTAAACAGGTAGATAGCAACTTGTAGAGTCTCATTGCATGCAGAACATACGTTGGATATGATGGGCAAGTCTGGATAGGATTGAATTCAAGTCTTAACTGTGTAAGTATTACTCGGATCTCTCAATGCAGTTTGAGTTCCAGTTCTGTATTAGTTGCTGCTTGGGCTTCGAGAAGGGCATTCACAGGGAGAGAGTTCTTAAAGATGTTGACGGACTCTCGGTGAATGGGTTATAAGGCCATCAGTACGCCGTTCTGTGCAGTGTGCAGTGTCTGTTAGGATGTTCCCAACGATTGCATCCCAACAGATATTTCTGGCACAGCATAGCAATATGCTCATTAAGCCGTAGCATTGAGGTTTTGGCGACATAAGGAGGTTTCGTTTCACAGTCCTTAGAATGGTGTTTTAGAAGGCTTCTAGCTGTTTTACCTTCGTCTGACTAGTATCCGGCGTTCAAACCGAAACAGTGAAATTTACGACCTTCCGGCCATTTTTCTAATTTGTTGCGAGCAACGAAGTTTTGTCTTCACCCCAGGTGCTGCCAGCTAACGAATTCAGAGTTATGTTTTAGCATCAGAAAATACTTCTTCTTTCGGAGCCGATGGATTTCGGTGAAAGATGCCTGATGAGGGATGATGCTGATCCGCGGAAAGGAATTCGGGAGGATTGCCCATCAAGAGAATCTCGTAATGCTGAGAGTGGGTGATAGTGGTATTGGAAACCTGTGTCTATTCGTAGATAAAGTAGACGATAACAGCAAGCGCAACTGCAACACAAATCACGAGTGGTGCACAGCTCAAAACACAGCAGAAAGTGGTACCAGCCAACACATAATTTGTTTCTGACAGATATCGCATTCCGAAATACCACATGCAACGAACATTGTGGAACGTCATGAGCTGTTACGTGACTCACCGGGGAATGGAGCTGAAGGAGGGTGAGGTTGGAACGTTATATTAATTTCCATAGTTGTCGCTGATAAAATTAGCTATGTAACGTGTGGTCCACTTTCTATTGGACATCACGCATACCTGCAACCAAAGGTGAACAAGCGCAGCAAACGAAATACGTTTCATCCGTGTTTAGACTCATTACCAACGCGGCTAAGAAGAATTTGAATCCATTTTTAAAGGTTGAGGTTAGGTTAACGGAAAAGTGACCCCTCTGTGGAATAAAAGACTCCTGAGAAAATTGAAGAGACAGCTAACGGTATGTTTCTGTTGTTGTTGTTGTTGTTGTTGTTGTTGTTGTTGTTGTATTTGTTGTAATTGCAAAAATATTCCCTAAAGTACTTTTTGCGGAATTTTTCAGGAGTGACAGTCCTTGGCCGGATAAAAATCCAGGTCGTTCCGGTATAAAGACCCGACTGTCGCGGGAACTATTGGATTTTAGTCGCCTCTTACGACAGGCATACCTTACCGCGAGTAAATTCTTGCACCCCTATCCCGCAGCGGTTACGGTATGTTTCTAATAGAAGATGGTTCCACATGGTCGGGATATAGAGGGTTATTAAGATCAGTGGTCGCCAACAAGCTGCGGAGCTGATTGCATAGGTTGCGTATCTGCGGAAATCACTGTCCAGTTTATGCGATAAGGATAATATAATTATATATACAAAATCTTTATTTTACAAAATTTTTCATCACATTTCAAAACTCCTGATCATTATTAAATATTCAAGTCGAATATGCTATCCTTTATATTTTTTTCATATATATCTACTAATGGATTTTTATTCTTACACTTTAAGCGATGAATGAGCATCAAGCTGGAAATCTTTACTAAAGCTCCAAGCAATACCCCAACGCGTCGTATTGCCTTGACAAAATTCCGTAGTAGACACATTTGTTATTTGTTTCTTCGTTAAAATTTCTATAATTCGCCCAACGCTACTTTTATGGCCCAACATGGATGTATAAATTCTGCAAAATAAAACCTTTTGAAAAGAAATGCGAACAAAATAGTCCCAGTTAAACCAACCCAATTCGTTCCGGATATAATTCGCTTTCTTCAATGATTCGGTGCACGAACTGCACCTCTCCGCCTTCACAAGCTAGCTCCTCATCATGTCCTGTGTGGCAATTATGTGGCGGCGTTCGCTTATCTTCATTTCGTGTCTTCCCGTGAAAAGGATTGGGTAACGTTGAGTCGTAAAATGGTGGATTACAAAGACAAAAATGAAAGTTTACGTTTGGCTTGGAGTCGAAAAAATCTTTAAAGATGATTAGCTTATTAGTCTGTTTGAATATTTCCACTAAATGTTCTAAATTGTTGCACTTTACGTTACTTCGCGCGAATTCAAGATTAACGTCATTTGACTCGAGTGCATACATACGCCAAGAATTTTTACGTGCTCCCAATAACGTATAGATGCAAGAAGAGCCGCAACCTGGAGTAAATTAACAGTTGATTGACACTACGTTAATATCTCGTATGATATTACCTATGTCTATTCCACGCACATCTGCTGCATCTGCAAGCTTGAGTGATGTTATCAGATCTTCCAACCATAGAATGTAATTCAAACGAAGCGGCAAAGTTGGTACAAGACTTCCAGGTGCGAATTCTACACGTAACTGGAAATACTCCTCCAATAACATTTGAGTCAGTGCGCGTAATGTGGATTCGTTGCGGTAATCGATACAAACTCTTCCATTGAGCTCCTATTATAAACGTTTCAATTAGTAAAAAGATCTACACATCGCATTGATGGTTTACCAATTTGCACACTTTTCGAAATTCTTTATATTTTATTGCCAACTCCGTGTAGTCTGGCGGAGTTCGAAATATATTTCGTGGGTGCATCAATCTTTTATTTTTCATTTTGTACTATAGTATGAGGCCGAAAATTTGCGTACAAATGTTTTTCAGTCCTAAAATTTAAATAATAAATTTACGGATAAGCAGCTGATCAAGGTCAAGGAAAATTATCTTGGATGTTGCCATTTATTTTCTTGTTCTGAAATGTCTTAAGCTGTTAGCAGATAAAACATTTTTACGTTACGTCAAATTACATTATGAACTTACGTTCGTTAGTTGTAACAAAGAACGTATACATCATATACGTTATTTGAACTAATGAAAGGTGAAGGAGACGCCGTTTAATAAAGCGGAGCCTAGATACATACCACAAACATCCAGTGTTGGGTACTAGTAATGAGTAAGGTATACAAAACAGCAGCTGATACAGCGCTAATCATTTAGAGAGTGAGCTCGTTGATGACAACAGTGGTTCAAAGTGAAAAAAAGAAAGCTGTTAATAAAATTCGTCTTGTATAGTAAAACAAATTGTTGTTTATTAGATAATAAACAAAGGTAAGTTGATATATTTACATTTAAAAAATTTTACAATATTTGGTGTCTTCTATATAAGAACCCAGTGATCGCACTATAAGCATTTTGGACCACGATGATGTATTAAGAAAAAGCGTTGCACTACTGTTGCGAAAATGTGTGGCGCATGTCAGGTGAAAGAGAGAAGCTGATAACTAGTGCACTTTCGTCTACTAGCAGCTGACTGCTATATAAGGGCGACACTCAGCTGCCAAGAAGTTAGTTACAAAGTGAACTCGTTGGTGACAACATCAGTATAGAATCGTAAAGTAAACACGTTGGAGATTATATTTAAGTAAAGTAGATTGTGAAAGTTCATGTAAGTGATTGTATATAGTAAAGTGCACTGTAATTGAATTGTGAATTACTGAGTAAATAAAGGACATTAGATAAATTCTTTATAACGACAGAAACTGCAAATTAAGTTGGCGATTTTTATTTAACAATCCAGAGATCGTACCCGAAAGATTTAGAAAATCAGCGTGGTTGATTTAGCAAAATCATAACACTACTGTTATGGCCCAACATCGTTTTTACGCACTATGGCAAATACTGAAAAGTTGTTCTAAAACGAACAGAACTTCAACGCCGTTGTCAAAACAAACGCATGCCATCAATTTTCATCAAACTTCGTTGTAAATTTTTGTGTGAACTTTTGCCAATACAATTTGCAAATTTTTTATTAATTTAAAAGAAATACTAACTTGAAGATGTCTGAAACCAGCACTAAAGATACCGTGCTGAAAACTGCGATGACCTACATCTGTGGTGGTAAGTAGCTCCTTACTAAGTAATACAGATTGATTGATTTTTGCATGCTATTGCTATACTAAAATAGTTGAAAACGTAAGTAAAACTACAAATATAAATTTGATAGCAAAGAATAAATTTGAATTTTAGGTATTGCAACTGATACGTAAACATTATCATTAAAACTCGAGCAACAGAGCTAAAAATGAGTTGGATGTTTCTGGAACTTTGTAATAATTATTACATATTTTTTTGCAGAATGTCATCATGAGAATGAGATGCGTCCACGCGATCCTATCCGTTGTCGTGAATGTGGATATCGTATCATGTACAAGAAGCGTACAAAACGCTGTAAGTATAATTTTGAAATTTATTAGTTGCGTAATAATCCCAAAAATAGTGCATTACTAGTTAAAAGTAGAGTTCCAGGTTTCACAGTATTTTATAGTGTAGAAGTGCAATTCCTGTGTTATCGAGTATGAGCGTGGAACAGGTGTGCTCAAATACTCGAAATATGCGATTAAAATCTTGAGCTCTATTTACTACAGTGTGACTATTTTTTCATGGCATTCCATTGAAGTATAATTATTTGTATTTATTTTCAGTGGTTGTATTCGATGCGCGCTAATCATGTATATCGATCCTCCTAAATAATATTCAACTTATATATGTATGTTAGAAATTTAAGTGTATATTTTACAAAAATAAAAATAAAACAAAGGAAAGGAATAAAACGGTAATTTAATAATAAAAAGAAGTGGTACGTATCGTGCGGGTCTCGTTGCATGAAGGACATATGTATGTTGGATATGTCAGGGTCAAGTCTGGATATCCAGACCTAACTTGCGTCAATATTCAAGTCTAGTACTCTGATGTGCCTGTGTGGTGGTTCTGCATCTATAAATTACTTGCACAACGAAGCATTATACTCCAAGACCGTCCCAGTCTTGTGGTCATATGCGGAGTAAAGGAGCGCAGGCTGTCGACTTTCATTATTTATTGTGTCGAAAGTTTGTCGTCATCGACTTTCACATCGAATTTGAGCCTGTATTCCTTCGTCCAGCTGATGAATATGGTAGTCAAGGATTATGTTGGATGGAGTCTTAATTGCCTCGCCGTGAATAATCAGGAAAGGCCGTCGAAATACCATTGACATGCCATTAATATCCTGGCTATACGCCAATATCGAGCAATCATCGGCATATGAGATCAGAAAAACACCTTTTGGTGGAGGACGGAGCTTCTAGATTTAGTAGTTCAGCAGTAATGGGGGGAGGACACCTGCGGAACCCCTTTTTTAAACTTTTTGAGTTTCGATGTTGGACCTCGATGTTCTACCGATGATACCATTGTATCTAACCGAATGATGGTATCGTTTGTGGCTTATACAGCAGAAATAATGTAGGATTAATAAAGGATTTGTGGCTTATACAGCAGAAATAATGTAGGATTAATAAAGGATTTGTGGCTTATACAACAGAAATAATGTAGGATTAATAAAGGATTTGGAGCAGCCTAGCTGCAAGGTGTTGTTCCGTTGATAAATGTAAGAGCATTGGCGGTTACGTTCTGTTACCAGCGGGGTCGCCGAATGGGTGATAGGGATTGGACGTATAAAATCGGAGTCCACTACGGTGCGGAGATCCAGCTACCGTGAGATGACTTTCGTTGTTATCCTGGAGTATATGTACATATATACATATACATATTTCATGTATGCCTGGAATACTCACGATTTTCGCTAAGCGGGGGTATTCATGGGTGCAAGAATATCTTTCTCGTCCATTTCAAATAAAGTCAAAACCCAACAAATTTTATTTTAAACTAATTTTAAGATGTTTATTTTCAATATTCAGAAATATAATTTAAACTAAAAACACATTTGACATTTAATTATCATTACCCAGCAGCAGTATTTAGAGACTGCACTACTTTTAACTTCATTTCTTTTGGTATTTTTATTTAGTTCTTAGTTTTTAGGTATGCTTGTAAATGACTTTTGAACGCTTCTATTACCATTACGACATACTACAAAATGCGCAAATAATTATTGGCGCTTCTTCTTTACTACTGTTTAGTATCTGCTGTTGTTGTCTTTTTAATTTTCTTTTAATATTATTAATTATCTAAACTAAAATTTTGTAATTATTGAATTAATTTAGTAAATTTTTTCTTCTTCTTGTTTAAGTTCAAATTCTTTTAGTTACTCTTTTTTGCCAAAAATGCTCAATTAGCTTTTTAGCTGTGTTCTAAATATTAATTTTTTTTCTTTTAGTTTTGTATTTGCAAAAGGGCGTTTACAACATTTTAAACTACATTTACACTAAATGACATCTCGCTTTAATGCGCTTCTCAAATATATTTGTTTTTGTTCTTTTATAGAAAATACAGTTTAGGCTTTTATATTTTGCTTAAAATTGTTTTATTTTTAAATTTAGTTTGTGTATTCATGTTAGTTCTTTGATGAACTTGGGATTTTCCAGTTGTTTCATGCTTTTATGTTTTGTTTTTTTTTTGTTTTTCTTTCAGTTTTTATTTGTATTTCTATTAAATTTCAGTCCATTACTTTTTCGCATTCGTATGGTAAACTTCGCTCACTTAAATACGTGTTACATACATACATTGATTTTTTTTGTTTTGTTTGTTTCTTTTTTTTACTTTTTGGTATTATTAATTTTGCATTGATTTGAAATGAGTATAATGTGTTGCATTTGTGATTACTAAGTGTTAAGTGAAATGTTGTAAACAAACACTTATATGTTTTTTTTTTGTTTTTCATTGTAACAAATATCGTCTAAATTATATTTAACGCAAGAAAAGGCGACTTAAAGGTGGTTTAAAGCGTAACTAAGGCAATCAAATGTAGTTAATAAAAGTAAGGCATTCAAATGAGTATAAAAAATATGTTGAAATTAAGAATTCCATATCTTAAAGTAAATTTTTATTAAGTATTATAATTTTATAAATAAATAGGTTACTTATAAAATACAAATGTGGCAGGTTGGCAAACAAGGATTAAGCTCCTTGTTATATGAGTACATTTTTTAAGGATTTTTATGTGCATTACAATTTGTGTTGCTTTGCCCTCCAAGTTTTTCTTTTTTTTAAATATGTATGTGTCTTATCGGTTTAGTTGAAAGCAAAAGTGCTGCTAATGCTTTTCCTTGTAAATGCTTTTTAAGTTAAATAGCTTTTTGTTTACTAACAAATGGCAAATTAAATTCAAAATATTATTTTCAGATTTGTAGATATTTCCATATAACATTTACATGCATATGTTTTGAAATATATAATATAATATTTGAAATAGTAATTTTCATTAATAATTAACCAACTAATGGCATCAACACTTTCACTAAAATATAAAAATCTTTGAATAATATAGTTATATAATGCGTTTATATGTATCAATTGAGTTGGCAAATTAAAGCTTCGTGTAAACTTTATTCATGCACGAGTATGTATGTGATTGCGTTATAGATTTCCACATCAATAATTTTTATACAATATAATCTAATTAACTTAATTAAGTATTTATATATCTTTTTAAGTTTTAAGAGAAAACATATTTCAGGTACATTATAACTTAAATGTAAGTAACTTAAATGCATGTACATATATATTTGAAATTAATTGAGACAATCATGAATTAGGAAAAATAATAAAAATCGTCCCTATTATTATTAGTAAATATAATTTAAATACCACACATATTTAATAGTGACGCTGGTGATGTCCTTCTGTTTTTAGCGTGCAAATTTATTGATATTTATTTGAATTCTATTTAATTATTTCGACTGCAAAGATAATTTTAAATTAATGAATATTAAATTTATTGGAATAAATTTAAAATATTAAGAAAATATTTGCAAATGAAATTTTGATTGTTTCATTATATAACAAAAATAATTTTTTATGAAATAAAAATAATGTCACCATGCAATTTGTGTAATAATGTAAGCGTAATACAACCGTAAAATAAACACACATACATACATACATACATATGTATTTGTATATCTTATTGGCGATTTGAGACTGTAGAAGCGATTTTCCACCAACATACTCAAATATAGCTATGTATTTATATACATATGTATATAATGCAAAATTAATAAATTAAATAATAGAGAAAAATATTTGTTAAACTTTAAAGCTCGACTTAAGCTCAATCAATTATCAATCGAGCTTCTTCTTTTGTTTGTTGGATTTTTGTGTGAAGTTCGTACTTCATGACGCAGATGCACCCGGATGTATCGATCGACATACGCGTCGTGAAGTGTACGCATTAAGAAAAATAATTAAGTTATTAAACTGACACGCTACGCCCGCTCGGCTTAAGCGTATTAATATAGATTAATTAAAAACAAATTTACAAATATTCATTTGTATGTACGCAAGTTTGTACTCATATATACTATGATTTATGCACCCGTTGCCCTCAAGCCGCTCGTAAAGCAACTACTCTTTTAGTTTGCTTTTTGGCCTGCTTTTGCAGTTTCTTACTACTGCTCTTCTCTTGCTGTTGCTGTCTCAACTGCTTGCTCACTCTTTCCGCTTCCCGCCGCTTGTTAAGCTTAACATTGCGATGTTCACGGCGTTTATGCAAAATGAGACTGCTGCGTCGTTTGAACGCGCATTGGCAACGCGGACAGTGTAAGACCTCCTTACGATGCCGCCAGCATTGGTGCAACGCCAATGACCCCTTGGTGTGATAGTTGAAAACGAGCATTACGGCGGCGCGCTGCTTGTCGTTGGCGCATGTACGGCAACTTAGCTTTTGATCCACCATGCGATTTAGATACTTGTCGCGTAGCATGGCCACTATCACCTCTGGCGGTGCGCGTATTTTCTTCGGTTGCGCTTGTTTGCGTGACGAACGTTTGTCGCTGTTGTTGCTGCTCTGTGTAATCGGCACAATATGGTTTTGTTGTTGTAGCTGTTGTTGCGTGGGTGCCGTCCGTATAACGGAGACTTGTGCTGCTGTCGGCGTCATCGCTGCAACTGGCTGTGTGGGTGTAGCGCTAAATGCTGTGGGCGCAGACGTGGGTGTGCATGTGGCCTCGTCAGCGTGTTTGGGTTTGCGGCTAAAGTCGAGAGGTGCGGTAAGGTACTGCTGCTTGGAGGCTGCATCCGCCAGCAATGGCAACAATGTAGCTATCTGAGATAGTGATTTGCGTCGTTTGGATGGCTGCTGTGTTTGCTTCTGTGCTGGTTGGTGTAGTTGTTGTAGTTGTTGTAGTTGTTGTACAGGCTGGTGCACAATTGGTGCGATTGGCGCTAGAGTGACTGCAGGCGTTTGCAACCAGGCTGGTTGTGTGGGACTGCCGCACTGTTGTTGTTGTGTTTGTGAAGTACAACCATTGCGTTGCTTCTGCGTTGTGGACACTTTCGGTGTGATAGTCAGCGTTATATCCTCTTTGTTGCGCAAATACTCTATGTACTCTTCGGTTTCACTAAGCTTTTGCTTGCGTTGCGATGTTGAGGGTTGCTCCTGCAATGGCTGTGATTCAGCTAGTTGTTGGCGCTCTGGCGGACTCTCCATGGCTATGGGCATGCCTGGATACATGAGTGGTGTTTCATTGTAATACTTATTTATGATGCTCTTGATCATATTGCTCGCGACTACTGGTTCAGCATTGTTCAGTTCCTCCAAGTCCATGCCTGTGAGGAATGAGATAATGTTTTGTTTGTTGTTCTCCTTATCATCGCGATCGAGATTGTGTAGCAGATCAAGGCGATGTTCGCGGTTGTTATGCGTGGCATTCGTTGTACGTGGAATGAGTGTTCGTGTTCTCGTACTTTGATTTCGGTTGGTATTATGGTAATTCACTGAATTATTTTCTTTATTGTTGTACGCGGGAGGCGATCTAATAAGCTGCTCTTGATTCTCTTGATCTTCATCATTGCTCAGAAGTTGTTGGATTTGCTGATATTTACGCTTGTTGTTGTTGTTGACTGCTGCTGCTGCTGCTAACATTTCGATAACACCTTCTGGTGTTGCTTGCAAATCGAAATTTTCACTCAAGAATGCCGACATCGCCTTTCTCTGCTCACTGTTGCCACAACTGCTGCTGCTGTTATTTGTAATTGTTGTTTTACAACTCGAAGCATATTGTCTACCGCCAGCGCTATCTTTCAACGGCGATGCGCTATCACAATTCGATGATGTTGATGAGGAGGATGATGGTGTATTGTCATCTTCTTCACCAGTCGAATGTTGCCGTTGACGAATATGACTTTTACTACGCTGTTGTTGTTGTTGTTGTTGCTGTTGCTGCTGTAGATGCTGCTGCAGTTGCTGTTGATAATTATGGGCAAAGTTGCTGTTGTTGCTTAGGGAATGTAATAGTGCCGCAGCCTCTTTGGTCGTCCATTGTGTAGGCAGTTTATTATTAAACAGGAGTTGATGATTAGCTGGAATTTTCAACTCTTGCACGCCTCCCGCCTTATGAAAATCCTGAGCGACTGAAGCGGTATTGCGACTGATGGCATCCATTTTTAGAAGACTGCAGAGAAGAGAGGAATAAAATTAGTTAATGATATAATGATTTTATGCAAAAATTATAATTTTTCATTAAAGAGGGAAAAAATGGAACAAAAATAAATCATTAAATAATAAAAATAATAATCAAAAAGATAATTAAAACTAAATGAAAAGAAAAATTAAAATGAAAAAATAAATTAATAAAACAAAATAAAGAAAAAGTCACTGCAATAAAAAATATTAAAATAAAATTAATTGAAAAAAAATTTCAAAAAAATACATAAATAAAAATTAGAAATAATAAATAAATAAATAAAAATTAAAAATAATAAATATATTAATTAATTAAAATTTAAAAAAATTAAAAATAATAAATAAATAAATAAAATAAATAAAGAAAAAATCACTACATTAAAAAAATTAAAACAAAACTAATTGAAAAAAATAACAAAAAAATAAATAAATAAATAAAAATTAAAAATAATAAATTAATTAATTAAAACTAATTGAAAAGAAAAATTAAAAGAATAAATAAAAGTTAAAAATAATAAATAAATAAATTAATTAATTAAAACTAATTGAAAAGAAAAATTAAAAAAATAAATAAATAAAAAATCACTGCAATAAAAAAATATAAAAATAAAATTAATTGAAAAAAAAATTTCCAAAAAATAATAAATAAATTAATTAATTAAAATTAAAAAAAATAATAATTAAAAAACTAAAAATATTGAATAAATAAATAAAATAAATAAAGAAAAAAATCACTACATTAAAAAAAATTAATTGAAAAAAAAAATTTAAAAAAAATAAATAAATAAAAATTTAAAATAATAAATTAATTAATTAATTAAAATAAATAAAAGTTAAAATAATTAAATAAATAAACAAAAAAGAGCAATCAAAAAAAAAAATAAAACTAATTAAAAAGTTAAAACATAAATCAAATAAATTAATCAAAATTAACGAATAAAATTAGTAGATTAATTAAATTAAAATAAAAAGAGATAAAGCAAAATAAAATAAGTTAAAAAACAATAAAATTAAAAATTTAAATTAATTAATCTTACTTTTTAAATTTAAATTAAATTAAATTGAAAATTGAATTAAATTAAATAAAAAAATATTAAAATAAAATTAATTGAAAAAAAAAAATATAAAAAAAATACATAAATAAAAATTAAAAATAATAAATAAATTAATTAATTAAAATGAAAAAAAAATAAATAATAAATCAATAAAAATTAAAAAATAATATAAAAAAAATTAAAAATAATAAATTAATTAATTAATTAAAATTAAAAAAAAAAAGATAAAATAAAACTAAGAATAAATAAAACTTAAAAATATATTTATTATTTTTAATTTTTATTTATTTTTAGTTCTTTTTTTATTTATTTTTAGTTTTTTTTTTTATTTATTTTTAGTTTTTTTTTTATTTATTTTTAGTTTTTTTTTTTTATTTATTTTTAGTTTTTTTTTTATTTATTTTTAGTTTTTTTATTTTTTTTTTTAATTTTAATTAATTAATTTATTTATTATTTTTTAATTTTTATTTATTTATTTATTTATTTATTTATTTATTATTTTTTAATTTTTATTTATTTATTTATTTATTTATTATTTTTAATTCTTATTTATGTATTTTTTTAAATTTTTTTTTCAATTAATTTTATTTTAATATTTTTTTAATGCAGTGACTTTTTCTTTATTTTTTTTATTTATTTATTTTTTTATTTCAATTTTTTTTAATAATAAATAAAAAATTTATTTTTTTATTTCAATTTTTGTTAATAAATAATAAAATGAATAAAGAAAAAATCACTACATTAAAAAAAATTAAAATAAAACTAATTGACAAAAAAATTAAAAAAAAAAACATAAATAAATAAAAATTAAAAATAATAAATAAATAAATTAATTAAAATTAAAAAAAATTAAATAAATAAAAATTAAAATGATTAAATAAATAAACAAAAAAGAGCAATCAAAAATAAAAATAAAACTAATTAAAAAGTTAAAACATAAATAAAATAAATTAATCAAAATTAACGAATAAAATTAGTAGATTAATTAAATTAAAATAAAAAGAAATAAAACTAAAAAAAATAAGTTAAAAAACAATAAAATTAAAATTTAAAATTAATTAATTTTACTTTTTCAATTTAAATTAAATTAAATTGAAAAGGAAATTAATTAAAAAAATTAAATAAAATAAAATAAAAAAGTAAGGTATTTAAATTTTATTAAATAAAACAATTAATTAATTAAAATAAAACAAGACAATTTAAAAAATAAAATAAAATTTAGTGAGAGTAAGCCAAACCATTGTAGAAAATTAAATTAAGCTCAAAAAAGTTTAGATGTAAAAAATCAAACTATGATAAAATAGGCAAGATACAAAAAAGAAAAATAAAATTAATAAATAATACAAATCGAAAAAAATAAAAATCCAGTTAGTGATAACTAAATAAACTATAGCCAAACTAAAATGTTAAATATTAAAACCATATTAATTCATTAAGGCAAATAACAAAAACTAAATTGTTAGCAAACAGTTTCAACTTTTAAAGAAACCAAAAAAAATTCAATTCAAAATTTTTGGGCATACAAAATAGATTTTTGTAAACACGAAAGCTCATTAGCATCAAAACAAAAGATTTAAAACACAAAATTGACCAAGGAAAAACATAAAACTACACACACAAACAACACATTTGTGTATGCATTAAAGGCAAATTCTTTTTTTTTTTTTATTTTGAAATTCCTTTTAAAAATTTTTACCGCGCATAGTCCTCCGGATCGCTTCCGTCTGCCTCAAGATATTGAAATAAACGTTCGGAGCCGCGTTTTTGCGCAGCCGCCGTGGGCAAGGCGCCCGTTAATAGATCGTGTGGCGGTATTAGTGAGCCATTGGCGCTCAGACGCCAACCCACCATCGATGTGGGATTTACAATGATTTCCTGTAGTGGGCCGCCGGTTATGTTACCGCTACCATTGTCGTTCGTTGTTGTTGTGGTATAAATTGTAACCGAACCGCCGCCACCAACATTGCCACCCTGATTACTGGAAGTGGATGAGCCGCCACCGCCGCCTCCACCACTATGTGTTGTATGACTTTCGGAGCAGAAGGTAAGGAAATATAACAATAGTAAATCGAAAAGAGTGCATTTATGCATTAACATACAAAAAAAAAACTGTTTTAATTTGTATATTAAAAAAAAACCACTAAAAATCAGTTTTTCAACTATAACTGCCAACCTATAACTGTAACTGTCGGTACATTTAACTAAATTTTTTATTATTTTTTTTTTATTTTCTACATTTGCTATTGCACCCATTTTACTAAAATTTCTCATCTTTCAAAGCTATTTATTGTTTTTTGTTTTTGGTTTTTTTTTGTTTTTCAATTCGCATCAACCCTTTATTTACCAGTATGCCAAATTCGTATTTGAAAATATATTTACACTTGAATTATTTGTAACAAAAGTGTTGTCAATTGTTCGTAAAACACTCGAGTTCGAATTCGAGCTCGATGCAATGCCGTTAGTTAAGTGGTTGTTAGTCAGATTTTGATTGGCACGCGCCGACCGATTATCGTTAGGACTGCATGCCAAAGGCGAGCAGATGGAAAGCACAGAGGAGAAAGAAATTGCAGATATTAGATTATTTCTATAATTAATTTCTTTGCTAGTGTTAGTACGCAAAACTAGTTGTTAGTGGAGGTTAGTCACTATTGGCTGAAGTCGCTACAATGCCTTCAACGTTAACTACATACATACATACGTGTAGGAATGAATGATTTGATTAGTGATGAGAATTATTTAGTGATGATGAGAGATGAAATAAAATCTGATTAAAAAATACTCACTGCACTTCATTGATATGCGCCTGAAATTCTTCCTGTGTATCGCCGAGGAAGGAGCATTTATTGCAGGCGCGTTTGTTGTGCACCTTCAGTACGTGCGTGGCCAAACGTTCCGAGCGCGCAGCTTTGTAATCGCATAGCAAGCAGACAAACGGTTTTGTATGCGTATTCAGATGACGTTTCAGACCCCACTTATCCGCACCGGACCATTGACAGTAGCAGCAGTTGAATCGCTTCTCACGTTTCGGTTTCAGGTTGCCACTAGCACCACTAGAGCTGCCAACAACACCGCCACCGTTAGCACCGATCGCGCTATTGACACCAACGCCGCCGAGGACAATATCGTCCTGTTTCTCCTGTTTGAGCTGAGGCAATGGCGCATCGGCTGCTGTGGCTACAGCTTCGATAGTCTCCGCAATGCTCATGCTCGACGATGTCGGTTGGCGCTGTGCCTCGAGGAATGCATTGTCCAGTTGTACGTTGGCGCCCTGGAATATGATGTTGGGTTTTTGCTCGGGTGAGCCACAACTGATGTTCGTATTGTTTGTGTGTTGCGTATTTACCGAAGTGATGGTGACGTTTCCACGTCCGCCCGCATGTTGATTGCCACCGCCACCATTGTTGGACGTACTCGAGGAGGATACATGGCGACGTGTCTTATTAATGTCATACTGCAATTCTCGGTGCATGCGCAGGAAATGTTTTTTGACGTGATCGGCCCGATTGAATTGCTTCAGACAGGCGAAACACTGAAAGGGTTTCTCCTCTTTGTGTATGTTCTCGTGGCGAGTGTACAGATCTCGCCGATCGGTGGAGTAGGGACAATGTGTACAGGCGTAACGTTTCTGTACTTGTACGCCGCCATTATTATTGTTGGCATTGTTGCCGTTTTGGTGGTTGTTGTTATTTTGGGACTTTTTACGACTGCTACCGCCACTGGAGCTGGAGACGGCGCCGCTGTTCGACGACGTAGGCGTCGTTTGCTGTTGTATCTGACCGGAATTCAAGGTGTTGGCCGAGGTTGACGGACTAGTATAGATAACTTCGGTGGTGGAATCATTACGATTTTTCGATCTGAAAAAAAAAAAAATAAATAAATTTTAATAATCATGTGAGGTATGCAAAAAATATAACTAAATTATTTAATCAAATCTGACGAAGAAATAAAATTTGAAGAATGTAAAAAACTGGATCAGTGTGTGCCCAAACTATATCCCAAGTGCAGATCTCAAAACTTGCAAACTCAGTGAAGTTGCGAGAACGGTTTTCGTCGGCAAATGATTGGTGCTCTGCGTTAACACTACAGTTGGGGATAGGTCCAGAGTAGTGAGAGTTAAGTGTTTCCTCTGTGAATTTAAAGAACCAAGTCCAAAGCTTCAGTCCCAGCAGTTTTTCAAAGTGGCTTTAAAACTATTTCGTTTTCATTGGCGTCAATAAATTTTTCGACATATTTGAATACCCTTCACTTCCAGATTTCAATATCTTTTAGTTTCAATTTTATTTTATTTTTTTTTTACAAAAACCGTCAATCACAATTCGCACCTCATTTTCGCTTGCGGTCTTGAAACAATGCGACGCATACACAACTCTACTTTCGTGCCGAAGTTTAGTTATGGCAAGTGGACGTGGAATAAAGCCTTAGAACGTCTTGAATTCGATCCCGTTAAAGATGCCGAGCTGGAAAAGCAGGATTATGTGAAAACGTGTGGCTTTAAATTCAGCAAGACCATAAACCAACTGGACGAGTTGATATTTCTGCAAGAGTTTCAACGCTCCGAACTCACACACGATGCTGATGTCATACTCGTGCAGGATATAAAAAATGTCGTACTCTTCTTAGCACCTTCTGAGACCATAACGCGCGATTTTATACTCTTTCTACACACCTTCACAGTCGATCGTTTCTTACGCGCACTCATCATCTATTTCGAGAATTATTTAAAAATGGTTGAGTTTGTTCTGATACGACGTGATGAGATCAGCGGCGAGAAGGCGCAAATACAAAGTGAGGACACAAATGAGATCAAACGCATCTACTCGTCCTACCTCACACAGCATCGTCTGCTGTTGGCGCGTGAATACAGTCTCATAATAGCCGGTGAGGGAGAAATGAAACGCTACTACCACATAACGCCCATTGTCAATATCTCACAATCTATTAAGGATAAACGCTTTCATGAAACCTTCTTGGCATATTCCACGCAATTGGTCTGGATAGCTATGCATCGACGCGCCTACGAATACATCGACTTGGAAATGTATCGACTCTTTCGTTCGGAACATTTCAAGCTCAAACGTTATGCGCACATTAATTTCACCGAGGCCGAAGCCAATATGCTCTATGGTAAGAATTATAAACGAGTAAATTATCGCGCACAAAACTCGCCACTCATACAGGAACTGGCCAATGTGGCTACAGAGAATTTGCCGATACTGTGGATTGGTGAGCGCAAGTATCGTGGCACCGATTTGCGCATACACCAACTGGAACTGGAGTACATTGTGCCGGACAGTCAGTTGACTTTGATCGACACATGTCACGGAATACTTGGTCATCCTAAGAAACTCTACAATACCCTTTTGGAAATCAATTGGGAGGAAGTGCGTTTTAAGAACTTTTCCGAAATTTATGATCCATATCAATTGGTGCGACAGCCGGCACTTAAAATACCCAACATCGATGAGGAGAAAATACGTAAACACGCGCAGAAATTCGATACCTACTATCATGTGCGTCTGCAGTATGAGCGTGTTAGCAAGGCGGTTATAGATAAATGGTGTCGACGCGATGCGATCATGGCGTACTTTACCACAGAGGGTATGATAACCAATATAGTGACGCAGTGTGAGAGGGAGATCACAAGCGATACATATGGACCAAGTGTTGAAGAGATAACGAGCAAGTTTTTGGCTCGCAAGAGATTGCTGCGAAAAGAGTAGGGGAAAGAGGTAGTGACTGGCAAACGAGCAGACATATACGTGTATGTATCTCTCTATAGCAAGGAGTAGAGGCAAATGTCGAGCTATGAAAATTCGATTTCTGTGTGAATTTACATTTAATAGTTTTTAAAGAATTTTTTTCGCGAAATATTTTTAGTTAAAAATACTTTGATTAGTAGAATTTTCTTCTTTAATAAATGTATTCAGCTGATATACAAATTATTATAATTTTTTTTATTAGCCCATCTGGTGGTATACACCTGCAGGCTAGGGACCTGTCGTAAGAGCGGACTAAAATCCAAAAGTTGCCGCGACAGTCGGGTCTTTATATCGGACCGACTCAGATTTTTATCCAGCCAAGGATTGTCATTACCACAACATTCCCAAAAAACTACATGGGAAATATTTTTGCGGCTACAACAACAACGTCTGGTAGTATTCATAGCCAAACGAAGGGTTCAAGTCAAACAAAAGAATATTATTAATGCATTTCTTTCAATTCTTTTGAAAATAAACCAAATTTTACACAAAATTGAACTAGTAACATTTTTGGTATATTTTGAACTAGTATGAGACTAGTTGGTTTCCGAAAAAATATATTTAAAATGTATGCGAAGCATTTTTTATGCATTTTTTTAAGGGGCTCTAACCTCAATAATTTAGTTTTAGGTCCTTCAACATTTTTTCCTTTCTTTTCACTAAATTTGTTTACATAGACCCACCCTAGTACTCGTGCAGGCATAACTCTTTACTAAATATACATATGTATATGTATGGATATAAAACATTAAACCACTTACTTGGACTTGCTTGTGCCAACTTGTTGCTGCATTTGTTGTTGTTGTTGTTGTTGTTGTTGTTGTTGCTGCTGTTGCGTGGCAGCCGTATAACTTTGCAATTTACCACCTGTTGCCGCCGGTGTCGACCATTGTACAATTTGTGTCTGCTGTTGCTGCTGCTGCTGTTGTTGTTGTTGTTGATCACCGGCAACAACGGTACCAGTAGCATTGCCCGTGGTTGTGGTGGTTGTAGCAAAACCATTCTGCATTAACGCCGCCAAACCAAATGCCGTATTCAAGTGGTCTTCCGATTTGAAATTACCGCCTGTCGTTGCCACCACCACAGAGCCCTCGGGTTGTTGTTGGATTACAACATTTGCTGCTGCCGCCGCAGCAGCAGCTGCAGCTGTTGCCGCTACATTAGCGGCATTGTTGTCATATTCAATGGTGGGTGCAGCGCTGCGATCGATTTGCTGAAGAAGGTGCAGCAGGCACAAAAAGCCAAACAGAAGAACGTAAGGAGACCGAAAAGAATAGATATGAAAAACAAAAAGAAACAAGAGAGGCAGAGTTAGCTATGTGAGTAGATATGTATGTATGTAAGTTAATTTGTAAGTGAGAGTGAGAGAGCTTTTGTGAGTCAACCAAACGCCGCCAGACTTACCAAATTCGTGAACGAGCGCTCGCCCTCGGGTGCTGTGGGCCCTGTGGTCGCCACCTGCGCAACCGGTGTGCCCAATGTATGCAAACCATTTCCGGTCTCTTCCCCATATAATTTTCTTGTGATTTCTTTAAACATATCTTCATAAGCGGCCTCAACATTTGAGGACGGTATTAACGTTGCCATGGCTTATAGAATCCGGCGCACGGTGCTATGCTGCTGCTGCTACTGCTGCTGCTACAACTACTTATACGGGCCGTCACAAGCTGCAAAGTAAATAAAGGAAGAGAAAAAGAAATTGTGGTTTAGTAAAAAGAAGGCTTAAATACTCGTGTACATATCTACATATGTGTGTATGTACATATGTGTGAATAGAATAAAGAAGGGTAAGTTATAACCTTATATAAATATTAAGCAGAGAGCCACAACAGCCAAAGAAAAAACCTCCATACGTCCAGTCCACTTTCAATTTGTTGCACTCGCCTCTTTTTCGTTTTTTTTTTTTGTTTTTGCTTTTGCTTGATAATTTTGTTTTCATCCTTTTTGTGTGCCACCACCGCCTTGGGTCCCACAAATGGCTTTCAAAAGTCAAGTCAAGTCAAATCAACGGCGGGCAAAGTAAACCCCATCTGCCCTGTTTTGCGGCTTGTCATTTAGCCTTGGCTGTACACACACACACACTCTCCTATATTTGTATGTGCTTATGCATGCATGTATGTATGTATGTATATATGCTCTCGTGCATCAACCCAACACCACCACGCAACATAGTCTGTTGTTGGTATTGGAGTGGTGTGCGGGCGGCGTGTAAAAGTTAAATTGCCAACGACAGCTGACTGACATTTCCAGGAATACCAACGCTGATACATGATGCGCTGCGTCAAGGCAACAAAAGCCCGACAGAAAAGCAATAACAATAAGAAGGCAATTGAAAAATGAATTGAAAAAACGTAGTTGACGCTAAGTGAATGGGAGAGGTGCTGCATACTGACAGGTACACACATACATACAGATATACCTTTGTATGTATGTATGTATGTAGGTAGATAGGTAATATTTACGAAGATTGCTTATTGATGGCGTTGGGATGGTATTTCGCTCAGAAGCTGCAGCAGCAGCAGCGGTGCAGATATGGCAGGCAGGCGTAGCGCTTACATTCCCCGCACCAGTAACAAAAACAAAACAAACACAAAATAAAAGCAAAAAAAAAAACAACTACGATTTGAGACTCCGCACCTCCAAACCAAATTGCTGAGTCATCGTTCACAAATTCATCTGATTGCATGCTTTTCTGCCTGTCTGCCTGCCGCCTCGCTAGCTGACCAAAAACAACATCGATGCGACGACACCCACTACCAATCACCGAGCGGTGTTAAGACAAGACTCGTAAAGTGCTGAGGACAACAGAAAGTGCAGTGAAGTAAACGGGGGGAAAAAGCGAAATTGTTGTGGAATTTTCGTATGAAATCAATCTGATGCAATTATGAAAATAAAAACTGTCAGGCCTTACAAACATACATCCATATCCATATGTAAATATATATTTATGTAAATGGCCAGCGCTTTTAAGCTCGAAAGTAAATTATGTTTTTTTTTTATCCGGATGACAACGAACTCAATTATTGAGAAATGGTAATGGAAATGGAACTGTAAAAGACTAGCATTGTTGTTGTAATGTTATAGTGAAGCCTACGTAGGTAACGAATGTCACTGATGGGAGCACAATTATTTGGGGAGCGGGATTTATTCTAGTTACACGGAGAGACGCTCAGGTCAAGAGAAATAATTAGAGCTTTTTAACCGCTGCAACGACTTCCGCCCTCCAATTTGTGGTTTTGCGTCTTGATGAAACAGACCAGACTAGTCTAAGTCAACTGAGCTTCGAAGGGTTTAGACCAGAGTTGGTTTCAGTGGCATACAAAACGGTGGCTAGTGTTGAGAAGGTCCTCATTGCAGTTAGGTGTTAGGAATTAAGTCTACTAGGATCTACCACTACCCGAGTTATACTGGCACAAAGATCAAGCTGCTATTCACGAAATTCAAATACCATCTATTGCAGACCAAAAGTTCCAGCTGGCTGTGCTGAGAGACCCAAGTAAAGCTCATACAAATATCCAGTTCCTATTTGTGCCAGCATTACTAGGGTCTCTTAGCACAGGCAGCTCGAGTTCTTGGTTTGCAATAGGTGTTGCTTGGATTCCGAGAGAGACGTGCACAAGAAAAGAGTGCATGAAGGTGCTGGCGAGCTATCGTCGGTTCTTAAATTTTGACATTAACTTTTGGCTCACAGTTCTTTCGAGCATTACTTGGAGCGCAATTAATCCTTTATTAATAGGCTCCGGATGAACGAAACCTTCTCAACTAACCAAGATTACAATGCAGAACTTTCTGGTATAGAAAATTCGTAGCGAGACGGAGCGGCTCAGGCGGAAAGAAACATACTTTACATGGTGTCTAACAACAAAAGTAAAAAATAATTGCCTTCCTGGAGAATGACTCAGAAAAAGAAATATTTCGCTTCATTCTCCCGAGAGATCACGCCGAAGCCAAGCTTCAAAAAAAAAAAAGTACATAAAATTTAACTCCTTCCTTTCGCGTCATTTAACCGCATGCCATTTCAATCAACACCCAAATCAGCGCCGCTGAAAAATTCATTCTCAGAATTCCAGAACAACGCCAGCAAAGACATACCCGCCACAATCTTCATCATCTCCATGCATTTGAGGCAATCAGAGAAATGAGTGCGTAGGAAGAATGGTTGAATGAGAGTTTCCACTTTGCACACCACCATAAACTCGGAAGACAAATTGTCAATGAGCTGTATGACACAAAAAGGAACAAAACACACACACACACACACACCCATAAGGACAGGCAAACATTAAGAAATTCCAATATCCACACGGTCTTTACTAAACCTCCTTCGCCAAGCACACGCGGTTTTGTGAGTTTTGTTTATATTTTGATTACTCGCTGCCTTCAATGTTTCTAGGGCCGCACATCAGCAGCCGTGTTGGTTATTTCCGTGAGCACAAGGCGGTTGTGGGCTTTTGAAGTCAACCGCCGCCGCCGCCGCCGCCGTCGTCAACAAATATGAGTCAATACAGCGTAGCTTAAATGCAAGCGCACAACGGATGGCATAATCAAAGAGGAAGAGAAAAGCAAAGACGAGACAAAACTTTTGTTTTCTCGCTTTCTTTCCGTTCGATGGATTCGAAGTTTTAGTTTTATGCGAGCCTGACAGCAAGCCAAAAGTCCAAAGAGAAAGAGGTACAGAAAGTTGTCTTCCAAATTCGAAGTTGAAGTATGTAAATATGTATGCGTACGAGGAATAAGCAGACAACAGCCCAAATTGCGCAGTTCTGCTCAACCCAGACCATCCACCAGGCAAGGCATTGTGATTTTAGGGACCTTCGAAACGCATCATCGATAACTGACATCAAAGTAGGTACCCCTGCGGGTTAGGGGTTCAAGAATTTACCCGCGGTAAGGCATGCCTGTCGTAAGAGGCGACTAAAATCCAAAAGTTCCCGCGATAGTCTGGTCTTTATACCGGAACGACCCGGATCTTTATCCGGCCAAGGACTGTCACTCCCGCAACATTCCCCAAAAAGTACTTTGGGGAATATTTTTGCGGTTACAACAACAACAACAACAACGACATCAAAGTGGGTGGATGCACATTTTATACAAAGTATTAATTTTTGTAGTTGAAAGAAGTGGAAGAGAAATAAGAAGAAACGACAACAACTAAAGCGAAAAAGGGAATAGCAGCAAAGCGAAAAATGAGCAAAAGGAAAATCGCGCCACGGCTTGGTTTTTTCTGTGTCACAAAATCACAACAACAACAGCAACAAATTAATAAATAACGAAACACATAAAAACAGATGATTTGTTTGCAAAGTGGCGCACGAACGTCGCTCGGCTCTGCACTGCACTGGGTGTGCGGCGTTTCACATTTTCGCAGCTAACGCATTAGACCCACCGCCGTTTATAGGCGCGCCGCGTCACAAATGGCGCAAAGTCAAACTCACGAACTGTCACACTCATATGTGCGTGTGTATGCCCGCGGCTGTGATGTATGGCAGTTGTTGTCGCCCACTTTGGCGACATTGTCTTCATTTCGATTTCAGTGTTGTTGGCGCATACAAACAGCGTTACAAACATACAAGCACTTATCACCAAAACGTGTTCTCCCCCTCAAAAGCAGAGTTGCTTTTTAATATTATATTTGTTTCTTCTTTGCTTTTGCATCACCCACCAAAGTGCCATTTATTTGCTCGCTTGTAGGTTTGTTTGTTTGCTCGCTTGTGTGTTCTTTTTGAAGTGTCCCCCTTTTCCGTTCTTTTTTTTTTGTTGCTGAAATCTTATTTACCCATATTCCGGTTCGGTTGCCACCACTGCCTAGTCAGCGACGTGGCGCGAAGTGACGCGACGCGACGCGACGCGCTTTACCACCGTGTGGGGGCGTTTGGTGTTTTGGCTGCACCAAAGTTGGGCGTCGCAGCGGACTGACACTCGCACCAACTGCCCATACGGTACGTCGTTTCGACAGTCTGGTTTTACAAATTTTTTTGATATTTATGTATATTTGCTTTATTTATTTGCGATTGTTGGCTGTAGCTGTAGCATTTTATGTCGAGTGGCGTGCTGGCGGAGCAAGCAAGCAAAAGTCAAGATCATTCATCTGTTGCTGTTGCTGCTTTGTTTGTGTGTGTGCGTATGTGTGTTTGTGTGTGTGTGGGGATGCTGCTGGTTTGAGCGGGCCGAGATGGGTGGATATCGTTTTTTTTTAATTTTTCTCAACCGCAAATACAAGTTTGATTTGATACTGTGTAATTCCATATAAAAATATGATCTAACAGCGGAGTTAATCAATTAGCCGATTGTGGAACAAGACAAGTTTTTATAACCGAAAATTTACTAAAATTACACGGCATATAATTAAGTTTGGGTGCATAGGAATTATATATAAATTATAAATTAAATTTCTACAATTTTGGATGTTGGTCAAACCAGAATTCGAACCCTGACTAACCGAAGCTTAGTAAACAATGCTAACCACTCGGCTATTGCGGCCGCCGATTCTATACATCGCTGTGAACTAGAATCCGGTAAAACCGATCACATTCTAAGGATAATACAGTAAACTGAATTCTTGAATACAAATTATAATAAGCAAAAAAAAATTTAATCAAAACTAAACAAGAAATAAAAATATAAAATGAAAACAAAGTAAATTAAATTGGTAAAATACAAGAAATAA